AAGGAGCGGATTGTTGCAGTTTTATTTTGAAAAGGAGCGTATTGTTGCAGTTTTATTTTGAAAATGAGTGGATTGTTGCAATTTTATTTTGAAAAGGAACGTATTGTTGCAGTTTTATTTTGAAAAGGAACGTATTGTTGCAGTTTTATTTTGAAAAAGAGCGTATTGTTGCAGTTTTATTTTGAAAAGGAGCGGATTGTTGCCCAGGTTTAAGGTCCAGATCTTTGTTTCCAGGTCGGCCATCGAGGAAGGAAAAGGAATTTACAACAACATCAAAAACTTTGTGCGTTTCCAGCTGAGCACGTGAGTGTAGAATCTGTTTCAGCCGATTTCTGAACAAGCTCTTTAGTTTGACCTTTGACCTCTGACTCCCCCTGCTGGCGTTCAGGAGCATCGCGGCGCTGACGCTCATCTCCCTGGCAACGCTGATGAACTTCCCCAACCCCCTGAACGCCATGCAGATCCTGTGGATCAACATCATCATGGACGGGCCGCCCGCCCAGAGGTACTGCTGCATCATGGGAAATGTAGTCTACCAGTCAAACATCTAAAGGTTCTTACTGGATCCCAGTGAATCGGTTTGAGACTAGACGCTGCGTTTTCTGTGAGACTGAAACTGAGCCACAAGCTAAAAGTAGCTGAAGCTCAGACGCAAAGTGCTAGCTAAATCTTGTAAAAAGTAGCAAAAGGCTAGCTAAAAGCTGACGTTAACAAGTTATGTTCAACTTATTGTTATATTGGCTGTGAAGGAAAGAAGGAGGAAGACTACTGGTTCCCATTTAGAGACACTGAAAATGATGAATTTGTAGGTTTTTCTAGGGACTTAGTGGCTGATGAGTCAGGCAGGAAGAGCTTCACTTTAAGACCTTTGAATATAGAGAACATTAAAAAACTTTGATGCTACTGATCCAGAAAATCACTTCCATAACAACATCAGCACTAACGGAGTATTACACTGATGAGCAGTTTATTAATAATGCGAGAATGGAACGTGCGTTATCCAACATCCACTTTAATAGTAGGAGTCTTTACAAAAACTTGACTCAAATTAAAGAGAAGTTCGGTGTAATTTCAGTATCTGAGGCGTGGCTTGACAACGATGAAGAGCGTGACGTTGAATTGGAAGGAGATGAGATGTTTACTGTAAATGGGCTTAAGAGAAAAGGAGGAGGAGTTTCTTTATACATAGACGCAGCTTTAATGTGCACAAACGTTGAAAATATGTTTGACTGTAGAAATTAATGAAACAATGTGATAATTTTATGGAAAATATACATCATTTGATTGTCAGTATGGATTTAGAGCCAAAAGGCCAACTTCAGTGGCTGTAATGCAATCAGTGGAAGATAAGCAAGTGCAACTGATAAAAATACTGTGGGAGTGTTTATAGACTTTAAAAAAAGCATTTGACAATATAATCAGGAATTACTTCGACATAAACTGGAGACATATGGTGTTAGAGGCATTGCATATCCTTGGATAAAAAGTTACCTGAATCCAAGACATCAGTATGTACAAATAATCTGAATTCTGGTTTATTAGAGGTTACCTGTGGAATACCACAAGGCTCAGTGCTGGGTCCTAAACTTTTTTTACTTTAACAACAAAGTCCATGCTCAATAATCCAGGTATACAATCCAACATTTTTCAGTCAGGTCATGTGAGATGACCTGACTGAAAAATGTTGGATTTTTTTACTTTACATAAATGATATATGCAATGAATCTAAGTTAACATTTACTTTGTTTGCCGATGATACCACATTATATTGCTCTGGTCCTCTGTATAATAGAAGGAGAATTACAAGTATGGAAAAAAACAGTGTAACAAACATAAATTATCACTAAATTATAATAAAACAAAATTTGTAATATTTAGTAACAAGGAAATAAATAATGTCAAACTTATGATAAACAGTATGGAAATCGAGCGAGTGTATGAAATCAGATTTTTTGGGGTGATACTTGTTAGTGGAAGGCTCATTTTGATAAAGTGAAAGCCAAAATGTCAAAAACTATTGCAATACTGAATATAATAAACCGTATATCCTAAATAAGAAATCACGTTACATGTTCTACTGTTGTTTCATACTTCCATACATGAGTTATTGAGTTGAGCTCTGGGGAAACTGGTATAAAACCAACACAGAGCCGCTGTCCGTGCCCCAGAAGAAAACGGTCTGATTACTTTCATCCAACTCATGACATGTTTCTTACGTTGCATATTTTAAAGTTTTATGCCTAGTAGAACTCAGAGCAGCACTGATTATGTACAAAGCCTAAAATAAACTTCCAAGGTGTAAAAGGAAGTGGTTCAAAATGAAAGAGAACAACTTTGATGTAAGAGAAGGATTTATTTCAAAACCAAAGTTTAGGACAAATATTAACAACTTCAGTTAGACGGATTCAGGTGTGGAATAGTTGTTGTAAGGAGTTACGTTTGTGTTTTTACTCTTTAATTAAAAAAATGTATAAAAATAATTTGTTAAACAAAATAATGTTTGATTTAAAAATATATATATTTAATGAGTTTATTGATTTAGCTGGAATTCCTTGATGTTTTAGAAAGTTATAGGAACAATTCTGCTGCTTTGATGTTTTCTGCATCACAAGGTGAAGGTATAAGAAGCTTGTGCTTCTACCTGCACTTTTCTGGTCTACACTTTGTGCTCTTTTAAGAAACACAATAAAGTGAATATTGTTTTTATTCTTTCAGTTGTTCCTGTTTTAAAATATTTTTAGTTTGGTTTATCTCAGAATTGTCTCTGAACTCCGAGATAAACACTGAACATAAGTTGAAATATGTTTAAAGGTTTTAAAGATAAAGGTTTGTTTTAGACTGACGTGCAGGTAAACTGCTCCAGGTCACCTGTTGGTTTCTCTTGTCAGTTTGGGGGTGGAGCCTGTGGACCAGGACGTGATCAGGAAGCCTCCTCGGAACGTGAAGGACAGCATCATCACCCGCAGTCTGATCGTCAAAGTTCTGGTGTCCGCCTTCATCATCGTCTGCGGGACGCTCTTTGTCTTCTGGAGAGAGGTGCTCATCTTCGCTTTGAAACCTTTGAGCCTGAGTCTGATGAAGGACTCGCCTGGACGCCAAGACTCGGACCAGGACTCTGTCCGAGACTTGGACCGGGACACAGTCAGAGGCCCGGTCTGAGACTCTGGACTGAGACTGGGCTCCTGCCTCAGAGGATGTGAAGACACTCGGTGAGACAAAGTGGTCATGGACTGTTTGTTTGTGTCTTTCAGTTGCAGGACAACGTCATCACTCCTCGAGACACCACCATGACCTTCACCTGCTTCGTCTTCTTCGACATGTTCAACGCTCTGAGCTCACGCTCTCAGGTAACCACACACACCTGTCTCACCTGGGGGGGGACAGCTTTCAGGTTTGGTTTGGACATTACCTTCAGGAGTGTTGGTGTGTCCTCCTCAGACCCAGATGGTCCATGAGATGGGTCTTTGCAGTAACAGGACCTTCTGTTACGCTGTCCTGGCGTCCATCATGGGACAGCTTCTCGTCATCTACTTCCCTCCTCTGCAGAGCATCTTCCAGACTGAGAGCCTCAGCGTCTTCGGTGAGAAGCACACACAAACGAGGTGACAGGAAGTGGTCCACTGGACGTGACTGACAGGAAGTGGTCCACT